ATTACGCAAATCAAAATTTTTGAAGGTTTGATTTTTATTACACGACGTTATTCCTTCACTGTGGAAGTCAATTGTGAACGTTTGTTAAGTACGTAGTTCATTGCAACAATTAGTACCCGCCTGCGGGGGCTGCGGGATTCGAACACCGGTGCATCGCTAGATACGAATGCACCGGACGTCTTATTAGGCCACGACGACTTACAATACGAGCAATACTTGTAATACGAGTGAAACCCCACACAAAACTATCATAAAATTACTAATAGTATTTGTAGGTAGCGGTTTGGCTCTGTCCCTGGTACTGCTGACATTCATGGGCGACGGTAGCCTCTCACCATCGGGTGAGCCGTATGCTCGTCTGCCTACAAAGACAATAAAAAATAAAAAATAAATTTTTAAATCGTAAATTGACCGAAGTTACGAGCTCACGTCTGGTGCCTCTTACTGGAAGTAGATTTAGGGGAAACGTGTATTGTAATCAATAGTTCGAGTACCTACTTCCTACTTACATATTTGTACTAATGTACGTCGTCATCGCCGGCAAAACAAAATGAAATCACTCTCGGTCGTGAGCCTCTCCGCCTCGTGTAACGGTAGGCTTTTTAAGTCGGCGGGTCTGTTTGCATTGTGCTCGCCGCAAACTTATAATTGATGGAAGAACTTTTGGTCGGTGTTATCTTATATAATTCCCCGGCGGTAACACAAACAACAACTTGTTTGCATAATTAGATCGCAGCGGGCGGCGGCGCCCCACTATCCACATTTCGATGTAATTACTCGGAAGGCACTGTACTAACAACAAGGGGCACAGTGCACGCGGCTGCTACACGCTCTTGACTCCTCCTCCTCCCTCTGACTCCTCGCAACAACTTCATGTACCGTTCGAAATGAACACGAGTTTGAGGACATCATCGTTCGGTTACGATATGTAAATTCAAGTCTTGAGTACCAGAAGAACTTAAAAAAAAATAAAAACAACTTTGGAAATTTGTATATCGCTTCACATATTATGTAAACGATTAACATGAAATGTTTTTATAATTATGTACGCGTAGGTACGAGTATCAGCAGTAGGTAGCGGTGCGCAGGAGTCGGCTCCCTTGAACTTGTCGGCGCTCGGCGTGCGCGCTTCAAGGCGGCCAAGCCGTCAGTCGGGCCGAACAGTTACCGTCAGTTCGTCGCGTGCGTCGAGCGTGCATCATGTCGGTCCACAAGTACACAAGAGCCGAAGTCGCGGCTCGCGACAACAATAAGCAGAATCTTATCATCATTGACAACGTGGTGTACGACGTCGCCGCTTTCCTAGAGGACCACCCGGGCGGCACCGAAGTCCTCGTCGACAACGCGGGCTCCGACGCCTCGGAGTGTTTCCACGAGGTCGGCCACAGTGAAATCGCCATTGAGTGGCGCAACACATTCAAGGTTGGCGAAATCGTAGACGAAGAGAAGTTAGAAGTGAAATGTAAGCAGCCGAGCGCTGCGGAGAGCGCGGAGCCGCTGACGCTGGGCGGGCTGCTGGCGGTGTACGGGCCGCCGGTCGCCATGGCTGTCCTCGCGTACCTGCTCTACACGTTCCTGTTCGGCTAGCTCGCCCAGTACAATGCGCGCTGTTCGCTAAAACTACCTCCGGCCACCTTCAACACGCATCCTCGTCGGATATAAGGATGGTCCTCACCTAGTCGGGCTTTAAATGGGTTATCAAGAGAAAGTGGTTGGGCTATAGTGGTACAATGTCTGAGTTGTGATGTGCGGAAACCATGCTTACTTGTTCAAAGTCCAGCCTTTGGAATACACTAGGATAATATTGTAGTTCGCAGGGTAACTTGAATAAATTCACCCATCTTTAAAATAACAAATATTTTATTAATTTTGAATATTAATTTTGAAAGTAATCACTACATAATCGCGCAGACAACTTAGACTAAATTCCGAGTTAAGTTATATTAGTTTAGTTATGTATAATATTATGTACGAGTATGTAAATGTGACGTCACGATCGGAACGTTATTGGCGGTTAACTGTTTTTTAATCAGCGCTGTCACAAACGCGCTGAATGTGTTTTTATTTAGGTTTTTGTTATTTGGTTNTAATTTTGAAAGTAATCACTACATAATCGCGCAGACAACTTAGACTAAATTCCGAGTTAAGTTATATTAGTTTAGTTATGTATAATATTATGTACGAGTATGTAAATGTGACGTCACGATCGGAACGTTATTGGCGGTTAACTGTTTTTTAATCAGCGCTGTCACAAACGCGCTGAATGTGTTTTTATTTAGGTTTTTGTTATTTGGTTTTAGTAATGAATTGTGTTCGCTTATTAAATATTTTCTATTCAATGTTGTTTTCATTGGTCATACTTTTTTTGACGTAAGTAATAGTGAATGTGCACACAGAGGAACAATTAGTGTGTGTGTGTGCGAGTTCGCGACTACTCGCGAGTGAGAGTGGCGTGGCCGCACTGGCAGCAGCACGGGGCAGGTTTAATGACTTGCCATAACTTGTTTACGACGCGACGCCGCCGTCCTTCAAGGTCATCTGCCGCCGACTCTCTGCGGCCTATCGATACTTTGTGCCAGAATCTTTATACATACTCCAGGAGTTCGCACATGCTATTAAACACACACACGGTGAATAATGTTATAATAAAGTTGGGTTAAATAATAATGATAAATAATAAAGATTGTTTTCGATATAAAAAGGCTTGCTTTCCAAGCAACCATTCATTGGAAATGTCATTTTTCTCCTACCTACGCTGAAAGTTCGGTTTTCCTCCCGCTGTACAGGGGTGAAAGTGTAACTTTTTCTCCCTGGGCACAAGTGCGCATGCGCGTTAGTGTCTACGTCTGCTCTCACGCGCCTAAAATTCTCCGCCATTGTTATGCTCGGGTAATTAGCAATATTGTGTTTAGTGTAAAAGTGAAATAAACAAAAGGCAGTAAAATTTAATAGTGAAGTATTAAACAAAGATGAGTTCATCAGACAGTTCTTATTCAATTGGTAGTAGTCTATTTAAAAATAAAAAAACAGTTAAATTGTTCTTTTATGTATCAAACCCCCGCCAGTTCTACGCCCCTGGACCCCGGCTCAGTTCTCCGCGGGTGCTAAGTTTTTTACAATGTAGAACTTTCGGTCTGGTACGAGAAAAAATAGTATGTGCACCGCGGGAGAAAAGTTGGACATTTCCTCCCGCGCGTACACAATGTACTATTATGTTTTACCAATGGGCTTAAGCCTAAAGTCGGGGATATACCATCATGAACTATGGAAGTAGCTTCCATGGCATAAGACGGCGTGGAATGAAACTGGTAGAATTTGACAATATTTTTTATTAATTCGAAGTTGTTAGACAACGAGCCGTAATGTGAATACTCGGGACATCGGCTGACTCACGAACCCTTTACACCTTACACTGAAACGAGTGTCGCTTCCCTACACAAACTTTTGTACAAAAATACAATATGTGGATTATTAGGAACTAATATTATAAAGATATATACGCAAGTGTTGAAGGCGTCAACACTTGCGAAACCACACATTAACCATTAGTTACTACGAAACGAATATATTTTAAATAGTGGCACACGCAGCTAGCGCACACAGGCAGCGAGGCGTGTGGCGCACGCACACATGCAGGGAGGTCGAGAGCGGCCGCGAACATGCCGCATGCCGCTGGCTGGTACGGCATACTGCCAAGGTGCGACAATAGATTTTTTACATCTAAAAATCGTTCTCTTTTTTCAATTGACATATTGACCGGCGATACGACAATGTTATACGATCAAAGGTTAATCTCAATTTATGTTTTTTATGTGTTTACGAGCTCACGGCCCGCCTGATGTTAAGAGATCACCGGAGTCCATAGATACAAATAACGTAAATGCCGCCACCCACCTTGGAACATGAGAACTGGTGGTAGGACCTCTCGTGAGTCCGCACGGGTAGGTACTACCACCCTGCCTATTTCTGCCGTGAAGCAGTAATACGTTTCGGTTTGAAGGGCCGGGCAGCCGTTGTAACTATATTGAGATCTTAGAACTCATGTCTCAAGGTGGGTCGTCTCATCTATTTCTATGGGCTTCGGTAACCACTTAATACCAGGTGGGTTGTGATCTCGTCCAACGAACTAAGTAATAAAAAAAATAAAAAAAAATTGTTTAATATGTAATAGCTTTTTGTATTATATGTTATAGAAGTAGGTACATAATATAACATATACAAAGTAGTAATTTATGGTTTTATTTTCTTTAAAAAACCATTGCTTCACGATAAACCTCTTCTCGTGGCGTGACTACATATCCGACGCAGGCGAGGGGCTAACGCAAAGCCGCTGTCGCCCATGCCTTTTCAGGTCCTTCAAATCCATTCTCGATTATTTTAGGCTCTCCAAGCACCGGTCACCGTTCCCGTCCAATTCTTTGAATACGACGTGCAACCTAGCCCATACACACAACCTACTGAGTTTCTCACTGGTTCTTCTGAGTGGAACGACCACGGCGACGACGACGTCCTGCCTGAGGGGTGAGCGGAGGTAAACTGAACATAAGTAGAACTGAATCTCTCCCCATAGACACAGCCAGCCCACTGAGTTTCTCACCGGATCTTCTCATTCGGTCGCGATTCCGACCCGGTGGTAGATTCAGCGAAGCACTGCTCTTGCTAGGGCTAGTGTTAGCAAATTTTCTCAGGTTCAGACTGTCAGCTTACCTATCCGTCCGGGCGTAGCTGGAGCCCCTTAGGCTAGTGAGGTACGAAAAGTCTGCGAATCTGGACGTGAATCAATTAAATTAGAGTTGATTAATCTCGTCTCTTTTATTTTAGACTAATTTAAAAAATGCTTTGTTTAGTGTATAGATATGTATTTTCTTATATGTATTTTGTTATTGTCGAAGAAAACAAGTGTGACTGTGAGGATCGTGTGTGATCGGCACTGTCCTTGTTATTGACACAGTGATATTCAAGAAGATAATTATTGTTGTTATCAGTTCGCGGGAAGGAGCGGAGCGCGGAGCTCGCGTGGCGACTGGTAGCGAGTAGTGGCGAGGCGGAACCGATCACTGCCGAGTGCTGATCAGTCGTGGCCGAACACGAGAGCGGCGCGCACGCACAGCACGCACCATGCAGCCCGGGCTCAGACAGTACACCAGGGACGAGGTCGCCGAGAGTAAGACCGCAACGGAGACACTCTTCATCATCGATAATATCGTCTACGATGTGCATAAATTTTTGGACGAGCATCCCGGCGGACACGAGGTGCTCATCAACGTCGCCGGCAAGGACGCCTCCGAGGAGTTCGAGGACGTGGGCCACAGCATGGACGCCAGAGAACTCATGAAGGGTTACGTGGTGGGCGAGCTCGTCGATGCCGACAAAGTGCCCATCAGCAAGAAGCAGTACAGCTGGGAGGACACCGCGAAGAGCTCCGAGACCGAGGCCTCCTTCGTCAACTCATGGAAGTTCCCGGTGCTGCTGGGCCTCGCGCTCACCTTGCTCTACTCATATATATTCGGATAGCTGCCTGTTANGGACGCCAGAGAACTCATGAAGGGTTACGTGGTGGGCGAGCTCGTCGATGCCGACAAAGTGCCCATCAGCAAGAAGCAGTACAGCTGGGAGGACACCGCGAAGAGCTCCGAGACCGAGGCCTCCTTCGTCAACTCATGGAAGTTCCCGGTGCTGCTGGGCCTCGCGCTCACCTTGCTCTACTCATATATATTCGGATAGCTGCCTGTTATCGCAACACGGAACTGTCGTTGCGAGTTCATTTCTATACTTTGTGGTTTATCGGATGATTCTAGAATGTAGCTAGGGTTAGAAGCACTCTGAATGCGTGTGCGGTGTGTGGTGTGACGCCGGTAGCGGCGCGCAATTACGGACCTTATTCATCATCGCAGTGATCAAATAAATAAATGTATTTTCCTCGTAAGTACTTTATGCGTAGGTAAAAAAGACTTCTGTTGATTTCTTCTGTACGCAATGTCTTATTTAAATTTCAAACTACCTTATACATTTTATCAATTTCTATTAATTATAATTTTTTAACGTAATTTAATAAACTTAAATGTTTGTTGATAATTTTAAGGTTTTTATATTATGAAATATATTTTGTTAGAATATTTTTTGTGTATTTTTAATTATGATTCTATATTTATTAAATCGATTCATTAAATGTTATCTCGTATCGGACAAAGGTTACTCTTCTATTTGTGTCTTATCAAAACATACTTTTGGTAATCTGTATTTACGTACACGTACTTCTAACGTAAAACGACTTGAATGTCATAAACGCAAATATGTAATTATAATAATTGAGGACACTTCAAGGATTCGTTATCGAGTGTGCACAGCTGCACAGAATACTATATAGTGTGCGTTGCGACTAGGCGACTGTTGCGAGTACTTACTGTACTGCGAGGTGGATGACGTCACTCGTACAGCTGATGCCTCTCCAAGGTCACGTCCTGGTGCGAGCGTTTTGTAGCTGATATCGCGCGCACTCCACCTCGTCACAAAACTGGTTTCGTGTCGTCTTGTTTTCATGATTATAACTTGAGTAACTACTGGTGGTAGAACGTCTTGTGAATCCACGCGGGTAGGTACCACCACTCTGCCTATTTCTGCCGTGAAGCAGTAATGCGTTTCGGTTTGAAGAGTGGGGCAGCCGTTGCAACTATACTTGAGACCTAAGAACTTATATCTCAAGGTGGGTGGCGCCTTTACGTTGTAGATGGTCATGGGCTCCAGTAACCACTTAACACCAGGTGGGCTGTGAGCTCGTCCACTCATCTAAGCAATAAAAAAAACACAATTCTATACAACCGCTAGGTAAGTACATAACACAGTCGAGTCGAATAATAATAACCGGTCCGTGAATGGATGCGGAGTTTATTAAACATAAAAACCTAGGTTAGGAATACAGTCAAAGGCCTACGTACATACACACATACATGCATTCGGTTTATAAAAGAATTTTATTTTATTTATATCCGTGTGGTGACGGAGTAAGAATAGTAACCCGAGGAGTTCTAGTCGTAAGATCCGACTAAGCGAAAATGCACAAGATGCCAGTGCAAGACAAGGAAAACTTGAAATTAAACCCTGTACTAATCCGCGTAGGAACCGTGGTATAGTAGGCTGATACCTAACCTAACCTAAGCCTAAAAAATAACAACATGTATAATAACATACGTATGAAGCTAATAAAATCGTGTTAAAAATGGGAATGGGGTCATGATGACATGAGCAGCGGAAGACAGACATTCAGTTATGTCTCTGTGATGAATAAAGTTAAAACTGGAAGCGATCTGCAAGCGAAGTAAATTGTTCCTTCATAACAAGGTGACACTACAAAACGTGCATATGTTCTGTCATGAGCTATGCAAGTGTAATGCTCGCTCACGCGGCCCGTGCACACATTAACTCTTTCTAGGTCATCCAATCCCGTTTCTGCAGGATAGTCGTCGGAGCATCGTAGTATGTGAAGACGGTAGATCTTCACGACGACCGAACCTAGTACTGATTCATAAGTAACTTAAGGAAGCGTCAGAACGCTTCTTCGACAAAGCGACGCTAAACTAGGTGAGTAGTGAGGTCGTCTACCTACCTAAGTAATAAAAAAAAGTGCGTGCGTACAAAGTACACATGTCAGAAGTGAAACTTCTTTGGCGAACTAATTTATAAGTCTTGCTTATATTTATACAAATCTAAAACTTTAGATTTCCGAGACTTAGAGGAAGGGAAAAGTGAAGATAAGTTAGGAATTTAATTGTCATTAAAATATTAAAAGTGTTGAAAATTAATATAAAATATAAATTTAATTTTTTTAATTTATTTTTTCAATATTTACATTATTCGACGCGATTTCTATTGGCATTGTTGTGACTGAAGCATTATGATACGTAAAATATGCAATATAAGTTCGTGTTTCAACATTATCTAAATATCTTGTAAAAATAGTATCTATTTTCGTTCCTGAATTTGTAGTTGGTGTGTTTGGATTATTATTTAGCTATAGACTAAATTTTTCTTCTAGAAAGTTAATTAATGGTTTGGAATTATCAACTGCAAAATTAATGTTAAAGTCACCACCCAAAACTGACTAATTTAATTTCATGCTATTTGATTAATGTTCCAAATTCTTTTCATTTCATTTCAATTCCTATTAACATTTTTCACAAAAAAATTATAAAATATTAGGCTGTATGGTATGAAACATTTGCCTTTCCAGTTGGAAAAATACAACAACTACTACTGACATTTGACAAGTACCTACTTAATTTCAATAGTAGTTTGATTTACTGGCGCCGTTTCTCATGTTTCCGATTGAGTTAAATATGACACTTCCGTTGCATACCTGCGTGACGTTACATCTGTAAANTTTTTCACAAAAAAATTATAAAATATTAGGCTGTATGGTATGAAACATTTGCCTTTCCAGTTGGAAAAATACAACAACTACTACTGACATTTGACAAGTACCTACTTAATTTCAATAGTAGTTTGATTTACTGGCGCCGTTTCTCATGTTTCCGATTGAGTTAAATATGACACTTCCGTTGCATACCTGCGTGACGTTACATCTGTAAAATTTTTACCCTCATGCGCCTAAAGAAGTTTCACTTCAAAAAGATAGTGAGGTTCTATGGACAGTTCGGTATCCAATGAGTCTGTAAGCTTGGTGGCAGACCCTAGAGCCAAACTAATCTGACACTATACCGAGGATATCCTGGACATCAGTCTGTGGATGTGACGAGATTAGAATGGCCCTCAAACAGATCAAGAACAACGAGGCGTCGAGCGAGGTTGGAATCACCAAAGAGCTTCTACAAGCGGGTGGGACGCCGGTATTGAAAGTCTTTTAGATATTATGTAATTCCTCGTTGCTAAAAGGGAAAACGTTAGAGACATGTAACAAGGGTGTTCTGGCCCGGTTCTTGACAAAATACGACAATTTTTTATTAAAGAACCACTGCTGATCCATGACTATCTGTTTTCAAGAGTCATCACGAATCGTCTTGAGCTCTAACGCAAGTTTGATGACTTCCAGCCTATCAAACAAGCCGGTTTCAAAAAAGGCTTTAGCACCATATACCACATACATACGCTGCGGCAGATTGAACAAAAAACCGAAGAGTATAATCGACCACTATGCTTGGCGTTTATGGACTATGAAGAAGCCTTTCATTCTGTCCAAGCCTAAGCGGTCCATAAATATCTCCAGCAATACCGGTACGTCGAAGTGTTGAACTCCTTGTATAATAACGCCATGATGTCAGTCCGAGTACAGGAGCATTGCACGAAAGAAATAAGTTTAAAGAGAGGAATAAGATAGGGAGATGTAATGTCTCCGAAACTGCTTACAGCTGTCTAGGAGGATTTTTTCAAGAACTACAATGATTTGGCATCGATATAAACGACGAATGGACACACTTTCGATTTGCTGACGATATAGTAGTCATGGCCGAGTCATTGGAAGATGATCGGTGACCTCAATAAAGTTTCTCAAGAAGTGGACCTTAAATCGAATATGGATAAAACGAAAGTCATGTTCAATGTCCACGTTAAGGCCACCGCATTAACTGTTGGGCGCTCTTGAAGCTGTACACGAATATATATATATATATATATATATACCTGGGACAGGCAGTGCTCAGTTCCTGAACGTCAAAATGTCAGCGAACGACGTCCGCCATGACACCCAACTGACACACAGTTTTACGTGACTAACAATGATTGTACAAACTTAAATCCGAATAATAAAGCAGCTTTAAATAAAGTTCACTTTTATTCGGAGAAGCCTTGCACCCAACATCGCATCACATTCCGATAGAGGCACCCGTCACGTGCGGACGTGCTCATCGTCCACTCGATCGCCCGGTCTTTGTTCGCGCGGCCTGTGTTCGTGATACATCTGCCGACCAAGTGTGTTTCCTGGAAGCTTTTATTTGTTTTGTTTTAGTTATTTTTGTGTTCGTGGAACATTTGCCGACAAAGTGTTTTTCTGCAAGTATTTATTTGTTTTATTTCTTTTTGTAATTTCTGTTTTGTTGTGCTTTTTCTTTGTCCTGTAGTAATCGCGCCGCATTGCCACCTGTGTTCAATAGAACCGCTCAGGTCCGAGAAGTTGGGGCCTCGCCGCAAGGCGAGTGTTTTCAAGACCCGGGGCCGCCCCACCTGGGTACTCAGCGATCATGGACGCTGTATTCGCGGAATTCCTCCGACTTCGCCACNAAAAAAAAAAAAAAAAAAAAAAAAAAAAAAAAAAAAAAAAAAAAAAAAAAAAAAAAAAAAATTATGTTAATGAGAGCAGTGGAAGGTTTGCGATCCTGTCATTCTATAAGTCGTCAGCTGCAACAGTATCTCCCACTGTTTCCTAACTAGCTCCCTAGTCTCTGGTAGTTGGTTCAGTTGCTAATGCTAATACTATTTTCCTAATGGAGAAATTGTGTTGATATGCCTTTTTTGTTATCGATGTGCTTCAGCTAAAAAGTAAAGAGAAAGCAGCGCTTGTGTATTGTTCGGATTACAGCAATGAAGCGGCGTCAGTCTGTGCTAACACTGCGAACTTGTCTGCTCTGTCGTCGTCTGACGTTCACTTTGCCAAATTAAGAATCCGTATAATTAGTTTGCACCACTGAAGTATGAAACCTATCTATGGTTTGCACATGCATTTTTATAATGATCTGCTCTATTTGATTTGTAAGGCAGACAAGGCTATTGTCCATCAGGTAGAGAGCTGTGACGTTCTCTGAGGACAACGGCGGTAAAGCAGCTGCGCACCGCTTTTTCCTGTACTAAATAGTCAGCGAAAGGTCCATAGAACATGTAGATGTAGTGAATTGTATTGGCATTCGTCACATTTGTTTTAATTTAATGCGGAATTATTTTCCTTATCATGAGGACTATATCTATATATATATATAAAAATGAATTGCTGTTCGTTAGTCTCGCTAAAAGTCGAGAACGGCTGGACCGATTTGGTTAATTTTGGTCTTGAATTATTTGTGGAAGTCCAGAGAAGGTTTAAAAGGTAGATAAATATGAGAATGTTCGGAATTAAATAAAAATAACAATTTTTTATGTGTCCCGCGTCGGACGGATTCCTTTTATTTGTTTTAAGTTTATTTTATACACAAGTTTAGGTCTTTTATTTCTCGATTGAGGCACTACGAAGTCTGCCGGGTCAGCTAGTTATAATATAAAACCACGGATACCATATCACCACACGGATATAAATAAAATAAAATTCTTTTATAAACCGAATGCATGTATGTGTGTATGTACGTAGGCCTTTGACTGTATTCCTAACCTAGGTTTTTATGTTTAATAAACTCCGCATCCATTCACGGACCGTTTATTATTATTCGACTCGACTGTGTTATGTACTTACCAAGCTGTTGTATAGAATTGTGTTTTTTTTATTGCTTGGATGGGTGGACGAGCTCACAGCCCACCTGGTGTTAAGTGGTTACTGGAGCCCATAGACATCTACAACGTAAATGCGCCACCAACCTTGAGATATAAGTTCTAAGGGTCTCAGTATAGTTACAACGGCTGCCCCACCCTTCAAACCGAAACGCATTACTGCTTCACGACTGAAATAGGCAGGGCGGTGGCACCGCCCGCGCGGACACACAAGAGGTCCTACCACCAGTAATTATGCAAATTATAATTTTGCGGGTTTGATTTTTATTACACGATGTTATTCCTTCACCGTGGAAGTCAATCGTAAACATTTGTTGAGTACGTAATTCATTAGAAAAATTGGTACCCGCCTGAGATTCGAACACTGGTGCATCGCTCAACACGAATGCACCGGACGTCTTATCGCTTAGGCCACGACGACTATTCTTACACTTACACTGTATACATATAAAATACATAATTACATACAACAACGTAACAAATGTTGTGTACAATAATAGCATAACGGACTTGGATATGACTTCCCACCAACATAATTTATAATCTGAATTGACAAGTAGATAATCTAATTTTTATCACACTAAACTTGACTGGAATAACACTAGGTATATCTGCTATACAGTACAGTATAATAATAACAATGTATTTCATGGTTCGTAATATATTACTTACCAAAGGTTTTTTTACAAATAGCTTAATAAATAGACATACCCGATCCTGTGGACCGAACGGTAACAAGTCGACGTCGCCCTAAACACGTCATTACGGATCCTCCCGATTCATTATTGGTACTTTTAAGTACACACCTCAAGCACCTATCACCGTGCTCGCCGAACCCGTCGCTTGCGACGAAGGGCTCGACGAGTAAATTAACCCATAGACATAGCACACTGAGTTTCTCTGCTCTTGCTAGGGCCAGTGTTAGCAATACTTCCGGTTTGAGCACCGTGAGTTCACCTACACGTTAGGGTGAAGCTGAAATAGCCTCTCAAGGCTATCAGCATAGATAGGAAAGAAATGGACTAGAGAGTGATACGGCTAACTCTTTTTCCCGAGGAATGCGAATGCAACGAGATTCATTGTTTCCGAATAACAAATTCAACAAATACAAATTCAAATATGGAACCGTAGTACAAATTTTGTCAATTAATGAATTACATTTAATATCGTTTGTTTCATTTTACTTTTACACAACAGATATAACTCGTTTGTTACAAATATTTAGTTGTATGTATTGAATATGCTCCCTTTGCCTGTCGATTAAAACAATCAAATGCTTATCTGACAGATAATATCTGTAGGTAGGTAACTAGAACCTACCTACCTACATAATATAAATATATTTTGTTTAGCTATTTTGAAAGTACTTATGTACCTAATATTCATTTATTTCAATTAATGATGTTGTACAGTTATGTATTATCTATGTAATACACTCAATAAACGGTTCATCAAACCTAAGCAAAAATAATATTGAAGCCGGACAAATTGATAAAGCAGTTACTAATACATAAACATACTTTATTAATAAACAATATTCGTCCGCAAATTCGAAATATAATATATAAACTAATAATGAAGCTTGTAAGTATGCAATATCTTCACTAATTTATTCAAAATATGTAAGAGTTGAACTTGAAACACAAAATACAAAAATAATATTAGAATTCATACTATTAGAAGATTGTGTTAGAATTAAACTTGCAGGACGCGAAAACAAACCAAATTGCAGTGGAGTGCTCCATTTGCAAGTAGTTTATTAATATAGTAAATTATTTTACAAGAACAGCCCATACGTTTTTACTGTAATGATATCCTAGGTAGAGAGGCAGTCTCCCACATCCCCACAATTTTTACATACCATTTTGTTTAAGTGATTATTTCATAGCTTTTTGGGATATGAACCTAATACTAGAGACTAAAGGCACCACAAGATGAATGATACCTCTAAGAATTTGTCCCTCTCTTCTATTGAAGTATTGATTGCTTGGATCCAATGACTAACCAGTTAAATCGGAATGCATGATTGTGTCTGAACAGAAATAAGTAGAATGGTTTGAAATTGTCATAAATCATTCTATGTGTACTCTAAGATCACAGCTGTTATACAGGTACTATAGGGACAGAAAAATAGGTGTGGCTTTAAAATACCAGGATGACTCCACTATTTTGGCATATCTGTTTAATTGAGCATTACCATAAGGACCCCTGACTTATAAATAATATAACCAGTGTTTACCTTAAACAATGTTTGATTTGATTACAGTATTGTTTAAGCAACGATGCAGCGAAGCCTTGCTTTGTGTTGTCTTTCAAAGAGCTCCTCATAATGTTGGATTGTGGGCTGTCATCCCACTCTGTGCTCAACTTCCTACCGCTGCCTCCAGTGCCTAGCACTCGACTAGCATCCCTGCCTAATTACACACCACCACATCACAATGATCCAGTCTTGGAAGGGGTATAAAAATTAAGCTTATTACATTTCTTATTATCATTATTTATATATCAGTACCTAGGTATAAAGTGGTTACTGGAGTCTCTGGTCATGACAACATTATTACCACCACCCACCTTGAAACATGAAGTTGAATTCTCAGTTGTATTGTATGATGGTTGTTCCATTCTTCAAACAAGAGGCAATCACAGCAAAAACAGACAGGATACTGAATCCACCACTAAATATGGTATAGTCAGTATGCTGCTTTAATACTCACAGAATGCTTATTCTCTGGTGAATCCATTAGGTACAGTCTTTAAGCAAAAAAACACATTTCATCAATTAATTATTTTATATACAAACATTAAATGAATAAAAAACTCAAAACTCCTCATTAAAATAATTTTTAAACTTATCCAACTGTATCTCTCAGTTACATTACACGTACCTTCCAAACTGCATTCAACAGATTTCTGATATAAAAAATCAAAGGGACTCATATTTTAAATCTGACTCCAATGCTATGATTAAAAACCTATGTCAAATAAGTAGTAACATGTTAAATGTAATGATATTTCGTTATAATAAAAACAGAATCAATATCAGGTGATATTTAAACTAACCCATCTCATTACAGGAACTAAAGGAGTGTTGCGGCAGAGTGTTTGTGGATAGCATGCCTGAGTTTTGTCCGCCTCTCGATAAAGTAGTCGATTTTTCTCAGCTAGATGTAATATTAATCTCAAATTACACTTGCATGCTGGCCCTGCCTTTTATAACAGAAGATACAGGTTTCAAGGGCCAAGTGTATGCCACTGAACCTACTCTACAAATAGGAAGGTATTCATTCTCTATTCTTTTTATGCCTTCAAAAGTATAATGATAAAAAATATACATTTCTGTATTGTATATATGGTTATAGAGTATATAACAACACCATATTATTGTAAACAGAATATGCTTATTGAAAGTACAGTATCAGAATGGATTGAAGCAGCAGAAAGATGTAATAAAGATAATATATTTGGAGGTTCTACCTGGAGGAGCTGTCGGAGTGGGTGTGCTCAAGCGGGTCGGGGTCGGGCTCGGCCAAGCGTTGGAAGGAGGCAGTGCACGTGCTGCCCGCCCCCCTCGCCGACGTGGTGCGGCCCCGCGCGTGGCGCCGCCTGCTCGCCCCGCACCACGTGGCCCGCGCCCTCGCGCGCGTCCGCGTGGTCGGCTACGACGAGAAGGTCGACCTGTACGGCGCGCTCGACGCCACCGCCGTCAGCTCCGGCTTCTGTCTGGGCTCCGCCAACTGGGTGCTGCGCTCCGCCCACGAGAAGGTCGCCTACGTGAGCGGCTCCAGCACGCTCACCACGCACCCGCGCCCCATCAACCAGGCGGCTCTGCGGNTGGCCCGCGCCCTCGCGCGCGTCCGCGTGGTCGGCTACGACGAGAAGGTCGACCTGTACGGCGCGCTCGACGCCACCGCCGTCAGCTCCGGCTTCTGTCTGGGCTCCGCCAACTGGGTGCTGCGCTCCGCCCACGAGAAGGTCGCCTACGTGAGCGGCTCCAGCACGCTCACCACGCACCCGCGCCCCATCAACCAGGCGGCTCTGCGGGGCGCCGACCTGCTGGTGCTGGCCGCGCTCACGCAGACGCCGGCGCACAACCCGGACCACATGCTGGGCGACCTGTGCGTGCACGCCACCGTCACGCTGCGCGCCGGCGGCTCCGTGCTGTGCCCCGTGTACCCCAGCGGCGTGCTGTACGACCTGCTGGAGTGCCTGTCGGCGCACCTGGACACGGCGGGGCTGGCGCACGTGCCGCTGTACGTGGTGTCGCCGGCGGCCGAGGCGTCGCTGGCCTACAGCAACATCCTGGCGGAGTGGGTGTCGGCGGGCAAGCAGGCGCGCGTGTACCTGCCCGAGGAGCCGTTCCCGCACGCGGCGCTGGTGCGCGCGGGGCGGCTGCGGCACGCGCGGGACCTGCACGACGACTCCTTCAGCGCAGACTTCCGCCAGCCCTGCGTCGTCTTCTGCGGACACCCCAGCCTGCGCTTCGGCGCCGCCGTGCACCTCGTCGAGCTGTGGGCCTGCAACCCGCTGCACGCCATCATATTCACAGGTACGCAGCCCGCTCTCCCGGCTCGATTATGGTTTAGGGGACAATTCCAACTGGTCACGGACGAGTAAATGAGCACATGGGCTCTACCAGAAAGAATGTGCCAACACTAGTCCTAGCAATAGTAGTGTTTCGCAGAATCTACCACCGGGTCGGAATCGCAACCCAAGAAGTTGAAGGTACTCAATCTACCGCTGAGTTAGTAAACCTGGCAAGTGGGCGCCAACGCGTCTAGGTGCCAAGGTACTTCTCTGTGTAGAAACGGAAAGGATTTTGAACCGCATTGTCACTTACAATGAAAAATGAATTCTTTTTAATAATCGTAAGCCGTCGCCCTGTTAGTTAGACCCTGCTTTAACCTTGGCGTTGCCACAAACGAAAACACCCCTACAAGACGATTAGGGGAGGAGAGGGTCGGAAGTTTTTCAGTCATTAATTTGGTAGCTAAACACAACACAGCACAATTTCCGACACTTACCAACCAGCCTTCCTGAAGAGTGGTACCTCCGTCCTAAGAACTGTCATTCGTTTTCGTTTACTACTTAACGTCAAGAGAATATTTCTAAATTGTTCTAAGACAACAAACGTGATTGGTGTGCTCAATATTCCTCTTAGCTCGATTACCCTAATCGCCCCTACGATGTCTGACGATGGTGTTAATAATTGTCTTCTCCGACAAATAATAAAATGACTTTATTTTTCTGTAAAGTAGCCGGCAATTTTTTTTTTATTGCCCTTTTAGACAGACGAGCTTACCGCCCACCTGATGATGAGTGGTTACAGTCGCCCATGGACTTCAGCAATGCCAGGGGCAGAGCCAAGCCGCTGCCTACCGCAAAATTTTGTACCTATTCGTACGTATATACTGTAGATATCAGATATCGATGAACCTGTGTGCGCTAAAATGTTTTCTGCTGTAACCGCTACTGTACCAACACTGTTGGCTCGGGTAGTTCTCTTTTTAACCTACTCCAAAAACCTCCATTAAGAAATCGAATATCATTAGAGAATGCAAAACACAATTGTTGTTAAATAAATAGTTTATGATAACGAGAGATAATGAACGATAAGAGACACGAGCCGGGCGGCAAGTCTCCGCCTCGCCGCAAAAAATGACCAAAGGAGACGGAAAATCGTGGGCCAAAAATGTAATAACTTGGAATGTAGTCTAAAAAATTTGTTTTATTTTTTTTATATAAGAATATAAAAAATCACCTTAATCCTCTTTCTGGGACCGGAGAAAAATGAGAAAGTTAGTTTTTGTCGGTATAACGGTGTGATCGATTTAATTAATCGATTACAGGATTATAAAAAGAAAAACATTGCACTAGGTAATTAATGCAAAGTAATTAAATGAGCGATTTATACTAAACTTGTTGTATACAAGTGCGGTATACGCCGGATTTAATTGCGATTATATACATAAATGAAGAAAAAGTCTATTATTACTTAACAAAGTAATATGATTATCGATTACAAATCGATTAAAATCGATTGTATTTTTGATGACAGCTTTGACAGTAAGCTGACATGACGTTTGTTCATAGATTATACAATTATTTTTTGGCGCTTGTTGGTTTTTTCTGCGCTACTCGTTTTGTATCTTCGACGCAGTGAGTTTGAGTGTGTATCTATCGGGCTGTTTTTATATTTTCAACGATCACTGCTTTATTATTACGGATTCCAACTCTGCCAGCCTTGTATGACAATTGCTTCTACACTGGACACCGAAGATCGCTCACACGTTTGACTTGAAATTGTTGCATTGGATACTGTTGAAATTATGGATCGCTGTGTGAATTGTGGGATAGCAATTCCATATTCCATACCTGATATATATCATTGATATTCATTCATAATATGACATTTAAAAGGTTATCCAATGTATATAATAAACATTTACTTATGCTTAAATAAGTTATTATTCAGCTCTTTTAAAGAGATTGTAACATAACTTTTACTAAATCTTTATTAACTCGGCTCTCAGATTGAGAAAACTTTTATAATTTTCAGCAAGGTACTGATAAATCTGAATCTATTAATTCATACTAGTTTCATCACGTTACATTCGGGCCCAAAAATGTATGTAATCGTTTCAGTCTCCTTTCTGTAAACTAAATGAAAATTTCGTAGATCCAATATTGCAATAATATGGGCACACTACATTTTATTAAAATGTAAGTATATGGAATCCGAACCTATTCTATTTGCATTTAATCAATTAGTAGCACAATCGGGCCCGGCCGGGACCTCTTCACGCGATTCTATTTATTTTATTAAAAATATCTATCTATAGAGCCCAACTGTGAGTCGATCAGTCGAAATCCGCAATAATTTTTTTTTGTTACTCTTGTATTTATTGTTTATTGTACGCAAGTGTCATATTGCAGAACCGGACTTCCCGTACACGGAGGCGCTGGCCCCCTTCCAGCCGCTGAGCATGAAGGCCTTCCACTGTCCCATCGACACGTCGCTCAACTACTCGCAGGCCAACAAGCTGGTGCGCGAGCTGCGGCCGCGCGAGCTCGCCCTCCCCGAGCAGTACGCCGCGCCCGGGCCCGCCGCCGCCGCCGCGCGCCCGCACATCGCCGCCGACGTGCCCACCGTGGTGGTGCGGCGCGGCACGGCGCGGCGCGTGGGCGGCCGCCGCACGCTGGCCCGCGGCACGCTCAGC